ATATTCTAGCCGTTATGTAGAATCTACTTTTGTGTTCTTCAAACACATCTTCTTACGGTCGAGAATAGCCGTCAAATTCTCACGTTGTAACGGTTAAGGATAGCCGTATAAATCCTTGGGTAAAGGTTCAAGGATAGCCTTTGAAATTCTTGGGGGAACGGTAGAAGATAGTCGTTAAATCTTTGTTGTAAACGGTTCGAGATAGCCGTTGTGAAATCTCGGAGTGAATCCTATTGGCAAGGGTTGTTTGCCAAAACTAGTGCGGTGCTTTGACGGAGTTCAAGAGGCCGAGACTTAGTGGATTCGGAAATCCTTGAGGAGGAGCCTCGAGGTACTGGAGTAGGGGTTTCCCGAACCAGTATAAATTCGGTGTGCATTTTATTTACGCTTTTATTTTTGCGTTTTATTTATTGCTTCCGCATTTGCCAACACCGTTTTTATTAAACTCCGAAAAGTTTTTAAACGCCTTATTCATCCCCCTCTAAGGCGTGGGCACAACGACTAAACCGACTAACAGATATATATATATATATATATATATATATATATATATATATATATATATATATATATATATATATATATATATATATATATATATATAGTGGGATCAAATTTAACATTATGGAAAGTGACCCACACGAATCATGTAGGGTTTGAATTATCTCCGCCTTCCCAAAATTAAATTAACCCACACCCTTGTGAAGGATAGAAAAACAGTATATTTCTCCAACAAGTATTTATAGGCCCGTGGCAATTAGTACAGCCCGGATATATTAAGTTTTATATATTTCTCCCGATGAATATTCCACTAAAAGTAACGCTTTCTTCACTTCTTCTTTTTTCTTTGTTTGTTGTGGACCCCGTTGTCGCCGGTGATGAGCATGATCATTACCGGCCGTCTGAAACGAATGCCTCCGGTGATCCATCTCAAGAAGCCATGACCGCCGCTGCCGCCAAAGATCTGGTGACCGGAAAGTTGCCCGGCCAGACTGCGGCCGTTGGCTTCAAACACTATGCTGGGTATGTGACGGTGAATAAGACCAATGGAAGAGCTCTGTTTTACTGGTTTTTTGAATCTCTTACTTTGCCTCGAGAAAAGCCTCTACTTCTCTGGCTTAATGGAGGTAACTAATTATTTCATTCATATTTTAATGGAGTAGTTTTTACTAGTGAAATTTGCACTAAATAGGACTAAAACATAATGACTTTCTGAATGTAGGACTTAAACTTTTTTATTCCCTAGATAAGACTTAATAATGACCTAATTGAAGGAATAATGTCCAGTAATGATGGACATTTAGTTGAATAATGACTACTTGATAATGACCAAAGGTCCTAAATTGGGAAATAAAAACATATGGTCTTATATTGAGAAAGTCATTATGTTTTAGTCCTACTTAGGTAAATTTCTCTTTTTACTACTTCCTCCATTCACCAAAATCCTTTCCTTTATATTGTTTTTTCTTTTACTAAAGCACTTCTACATTTTATTAAAAAATTAATTTATTCTTAATTTTTTACACCCTACCTATCACATCATACTTTTTCATTAATAATTTATTTATAAATCAGGGATAAGATTGGAAAGTCAACTACAGATATACACTCATTATCTTTCCCATTAGTCAAAATATGAACCGTTTTGGTAAACAGAGAGAGCATATTTATTACGGAGTACTCGGTAATAATTACAATATATATACCCTTGTATATACTTAGTATTTGCCCAGTTCAGAATTTTTACATTCAAAATTAATAAACTTTGACAATTAATTATATAAAATTTGTATTAGATATTGATAAAAGAACCATCTTACTCCCTCCGTTCCACAAAACCCTTCCTCTTTCGTTTTTTTTTGCTTTCCACAAAACACTTCCACTTTCTATTAAAAAACCACTTTTACCCCTATTTTTTCATACTCTACCTATCACATCATACTTTTTCACTAATAACCAAACTATCTCATCTTACTTTTTCCATCACATCAGGGGCAAGATTGGAAAGTCAACCAAAATTACGTTTTCCTTATTTTTTCCCAAAGTCAAAACCGGAAGGATTTTGTGGAACGGAGGGAATATTAGATTTATTCTCTCTGTCCCAAAAGAAATGTCACACTCACTATTCAAAAAGTGCAAGATTTTTTGTTTGTTGATGTTTTTTCCTTAATTTTTTATGTCTATACTAATCTTAAAATAAAATGAATTGAAATTTTTTTTAAATTTATTTTGCGTAATGTGACGATCTGTTTGGGATAGAGAGAGTAAAATATGTTTAATATATTAGTTTATTTTGTTAATATATCATGTAATTTTTATTTAATTATATATGAAAGTTCAATTCAGATTGAGTATAAAATGACAAATGATCAAGGATGAGTATATATACTCCCTCCGTATTATTATGAGACCAATGACATCTTTCGTACGTTGGTACCACACATACACCAATCCATCAACGGGAGGCGTTAAATAATAAGCTTTCATATCAATAGAAACAATGAAATATACTCCCTCCCTTTCTCTAAATAAAGTCCACTCTATAAAAATAAATTAATTTTTATGCAGATAATTTTAGAAAAATTTATTAGTGATTTATTTGGACTAAGGAGGGGAGTAATCCGTGACGGTCCATGTCATAATCCATGATACTATTAGAACCTATCACGAACTGTTCTTATTTAAAATGTTCGGTATCGGTTCGGTATGAACCCTAAAACCATTCAATACCATTCCGTTTTGAAACGGAACGGTACAATACCATACCAATGCTCAAACCGTGACAAAAAAAGAAACATGCATCGCTAAAAAAATATTAAAATAAAAGCATAATTTTGTATCCAAAAGCACAACTTTGTTAAATAGAAATATTGATTTCAAATTTAAAAGGATCATAAATATAAAGAATAAAAGATAACGAGTTCAACTTTTAAAAATAGATTTTTTAATTCATACAATATCAGACTATTACCCTGTAATAACTCTAAAATATAATGGTCATAGTAGTAGTAAATATAATACTCCATAGACGGTAAGATCAGATGAAGTAGACCAATAATTATTTGAGATACTCCGTATATAATTTTGAACGCACGGTTCGGCCTGTAATAATCGATTTTAAATATTTCTATCACGGTCCTGTCTCGTTTAATATCTGTTCGATTTCGGTTCGTTACGAAAAAATCCATCTCGTTTAAAAACATTGTAAACGGACTGGTATGGTACCATGCTAGTTCGGTTTTTTTGTCCACCCTTATTTTTGACAACAAAGTTGTTAAAATTAACTAGCCAATTAATTGGCAAAGGTGGGAAGTATTATTGAATATGAACCATATACAATTTCATTGACTAATGTATGGAGGGAGAGTATTGACTTTTTTACATTGGATCTAGAAAACTAAAGGAGAATCCAAAAATGGTAAGAAGTGTGTGTGTGTGTGTATTCCTAGAGAAAGGTTTCCTCCGGACACACGCCGGGCCTTTAGGCCATTGTCATCCGATCTTTACAGTTTTTTCTTTCCCAGCGACTTAAGACCAATTTTTATTTTATAAAAAGTGATTATACATGGAGACACATTAGTACTTCTTCTTGTTTGGTTAGAGAAAAAAAGAAGAGTGGAAGTAAAAAAAATGAAAAAGCAAAATGTAATAAGTGAAGGAAAAACCAAATTCGTACCATTTTGGTGAAGAAGTTGAGAGATTGTTCTTTTCTTTTCTTTTCCTTCCAAATTTTTTGAATCAAACATAGAGTTAAAGTATTGGTTTTATAAATTTTAAGAAAATTATTCAAAACAAAACATGTCTGATTAGATTTTTTATAGAATAGAAAAAAATATTGTACGGAGTAAATTATATTTTTTTCAGTATGAAAAACGTAAACTTGTCTACTCGAGGGAAGAAGCAGTATATACTCCCTTCGTCCCTTAAAGTTGTTCCCTTATTGACTTTTTGAGAAATTAAGACATGAATATTTTGGTATTGACTTTCCAAAAATATATTTGATGTGATGAGTAAAAGTAAGATATGATGAATAGATTATTTGTAAAAAGGTATAATGTGATAGATAAGGTATGAAAAAATAAAGGGTAAAAGTAGCTTTTTAGTAGATAAGATAAGAAGTTAGTGGGACAAGAAAAAAAGAATGGGGAAGAAGTTTAAGGGACGGAGTGAGTATATTATATACTCGTATATGTCTTTGTACTTTGTTAAGCTTCAAAATTTAACAAGGATTTCTTCCTAAAAAGATTTTAATGATTTGGGTTATAATGTTTAATTTGACTGGAATTATCTAATTTTTAATTTAATTTATTTAAAAATTAGACAAAAAATTCAATTATTTTTGAAAAAATATAAAAAAAAAATAGTGAATTTTTCAATATAGTACTCTATATTTTTATTTCTCGATGTAGTACCATTGTTCAATGTCTATTAGACATTGTTCAAAGCAATTGTCCACCGCCACCAGACATTATTTAAGTACTATTTAGAGAATAAAAAACCGTAGGTACTACATTCGGAAGAAAGAAAATACTTCCTCCGTCCCTGAAACATCTTCCCTTATTGACTTTTTGAAGATTTAAAGGAGGGATATTTTTGTGTTGACATTCAAAAAATACCTTTGATGTGATGAGTAAAAATAAGATGTGATGTATAATTATTATTAGTAAAAAGATATAATGTGATAGGTGGGTATCAAAAAAGTAAGGAGTAAAAATGGTTTTTTAATAGATAATGGAAAATCTTTTGGGGTAATATAAAATGAAAGGGGAAGACGTTTTAGAGACAGAGAGAGTATGTTTTAGTACTATTTATTGCAAATTTCACATTAATACCCCAAGTAGCTTAAAGAAAACCTTGGTAAAAAACACGTAACTTTCATATACTTTCATATGGATTAATTCATGTAAAATTCACAAAAGTCTAAATTCCAGCTTTGGTCTTTCAAATTATTATATTATGCACGATTAGTTTTTCAATTTTGAAAAGTTCATGAATAATCCGTAAGTCATGTTAACATTGCATGATTGACCCTTCAACTTTGATTGCTCTACCAATACTTCTTCAAGTCCTTGCTAACTTTACATGGTTGTTTCTTTCCCTAATTCAGTAATTCATGCACTTTTTTATTTTCCTTTTTAAATACATGTGAGGAATCCTTTGTTCTTCATATAATTGAAACATATTTAATATAAGTCCATTTATATTAATTATAGTTACTCTTACTTTTATTATTCCAATTTTTATAATAAAATAAGCTACTTTTGCTTTTATTAGTTTAATTTTTTTTAAAAATACTAACTCCAACTAAAAGTATTTATCAAATTTTGATTTTTTACAATCAACAAGGTTGAATGTTTTACCAATATCCAAATAAAATAAATCTATAAAAAGTATGGTTCAATTATATGAGAAAGAAAAGGTTCACCACATGTATTTATAGTGAAAAAAGAAAAAAAAATGCATGAAGTAACAACAAATTAAGAAAAAAGCCAAACATACTAACGTAACTTGAAAGACTATTAATAAATTTTTTAAACTTGAAGAACCAACGACACATAACTCAATAATTTGAAAGACGAAAAATGAAATTTAGACTTTTTGTACGTATTGATTATGGGTATCATATTACGTTAAATGAATGCATTGATGATATGATGATGATGATTAGGTCCGGGATGCTCGTCGGTAGGGTATGGAGAATCACAAGAGATTGGGCCTTTCCTTATTGGCGGCGGCGATGGACCTCTCTTGACAATCAATCCATTCTCTTGGAATACAGGTTTATATATATGTGTGTGTGTGTCTATGAGATTGACTCTAGTGAGATGACACCTTACGGTGAGATGACATTCTTCGACAACAAGTTTACCAATGGACAATGCAAAGTTCACCTAGAAATGAAGCAAAGCTCACCATTTTGAAAACCAAAACTCAGATTTTTTTAAATTTCTAAATTTAAAAATTAACAAAAAAAACAACACCGGTCAACCACCGGTCATAGGCGGCGACTGGCGGCGGACCACCGGTCATAGGCGGCGGCCGGCGACTAGCCGGCTGCGGCGGCGGTCAAAGGTCCTGGTCAACGGTCAAAATCTAGTCATTAATTACCCCTTCGTTGGTGAGCTTTGCAGTGGCTCGTGGTGAGCTTTGCGTCATCTGACCGTAGCATGTCATCTCACCATAAAGTGTCATCTCACTGGAGTCAATCCATATATATATATATATATATATATATATATATATATATATATATATATATATATATATATATATATATATATATATATATATATATATATATATATATATGGGTGTGTGTGTGCCCGCGCGCGCATTTGCTTGTATCTATATATTCGTCTAGGTTAAGTGGTTAACTACTTGAATATATTAACTGCAGAGGCGAACATATTATTCCTGGAATCTCCATTTGGCGTAGGCTTCTCTTATTCAAACACTACCACTGACTTTGTCAATCTTGGGGATGAATTAGCAGGTATGACGATCTTGTGCATGTATGTCTATAATATATATATATACAGGTCCGTCTCCGAGAAATCAGGGACCCTGGACGTCACGGAGAAAATGCCAAAATGGGTCATTGTGTCATAATAAAATAAAGTCTATCAATTAAATTTTTTTAATAATAAAAAATATTATAGTAATAAGAATAATAAAATGTCAAATTCATAGTCTTATAAATTTATACTAATTCATAGTCTTAACCTGTTTTTTATATAAATATATAATATATATATAGAATATATACAAAAGAAGAAAAAAGTGGGGCCCTGTTTATATATATATATATATATATATATATATATATATATATATATATATATATATATATATATATATATATAGTGTACTCTTTCCGTCCCATAAAACATTTTTACTTTGAAAAAGGAGTTACATCTTCATTTTTTTAAGTATCCCACAAAACACTTTCACCCTACCTAAAATGTCTAAAATACACAATCAAGTATTTTTTTCAAACTGTGAGAATAGTAGGGTCGGAGTAGTGAATAGATTTAATGTGATATGTAGGTAACTAATTAGTAGGGTAAAAAGGATATTTTAATTGAATGTCAAAGTATTTTTTGTGACGAATGAAAATTGAAAGTAATTTGCTTTTTTGGGATGGAAGGAGCATGTAGGTACGTAATCCCGCTAGCTAGCTACTTGCATAATTTTGCATGCAGTTACAATTAATTAATTATATATGGAATTATTAATCAATTAAGGGTTTAGTTTTTTTGTCTGCTAATTACTGAATGCATGCATGCATACATATACAGCAAATGATGCATACACTTTCCTGAACAATTGGTTTCTCAAGTTCCCATCTTATAGAAACCGATCTTTTTATATTGCCGGGGAGAGCTACGCTGGTAATTATTATTTAATACAGAGTATCAGTTTCTTTCTTTCTTTTTTTTAATATCAATTATTCAATTTCATATACTCGTGATATATGAAGATAGTTATATTAATACTGGCATATATATATGGTTTTGATCGGTTGATCTGAAAGGGCAATACATACCAGTGTTGGCTGACCTAATTCTTGAGAAAAACAAGAAACCATCTTCTTCGAATCTCTCCACCAACATTAATCTTAAAGGAGTAATGGTACGTACGTACGTTATTATTGTTTAATAATGAACGACATAACATATGTAATAATGCATGCATGGATGGATATAATATGATATGCATGCAGATAGGGAACCCGGAAACATCGGATGCGGAAGACTGGAGGGGGATGGTGGATTATGCATGGAGCCATGCAATAATCTCAGATGAAACCCATAAAATAATCACAGACAACTGCAATAATTTTAGTACCAGCGACGTGTGGAACAACAAAAACTGTAGCGATGGTGTAGATGAAATGTTGAAACAGTACGATGAGATTGACATATATAGCCTCTATACCCCCAAATGCCTAAACAACCTCACATCATCATCATTATCACCATCATTATCATCATCACCATCATCATCTTCCCATAAGATTGGAAGAAGAAGAGGACGAGGACTACTAGGTTTGGTTGGGGCCGGGTATGACCCGTGTTTGGATGATTACACTGTTTCTTACTTCAGAAGGGGAGACGTGCAAAAGGTTCTACACGCCAATGATGGTCTCCACGTCAAGGACTGGAATATCTGCAAGTAATATTATTATTATTATTATTATCACTTATTATTAATATTATTATTATCACTTATTATTAATATTATTATTATAACTATTATTATTGTTGTTGTTATTATTATCATTATTATTGTTATCATTATTATTATTTTATTATTATTGTTGTTGTTGTTGTTATGGATGTTGGATGCATATATGCATGCAGTGACTCAATTTTCAATGCGTGGGCATACTCAAACGAATCAGTTCTCCCAATATATCGGAAACTCATTGCTGCAGGACAGAAAATATTGCTCTACAGGTAATTTTTAGAATTTCTTACATACTCCTTTTATTTTGAGTACGTGATCATTAAATTGAGTAAAAATTTTTAACATTTTATTAATATTTTCTAACATTGTCCCGCTCTTAAATATAGTGTTTGATAACTTTCTAAACAATAGGACAAAGTTTATTCTAAAACCAATAAATAAACAGGAAAACTGAATATTTTTATTCTAAAGGTAGAAAAAGATGGAAGTTCTTTTTTGGGAAAGTAGTACCATACAACCACCGCAAAATGGAAAAGTCAAAAAGGTTGTTCGTCCGGAGCCATTGGCACCCGACCACTTGTAATCTATGCATCTTTCATCTGTAAACCAACACTTTCTGCTAAAAGTGAATTATATATTGTTCAATTCTCTAAAATTATGCTGTCCATGTAGGTATTAAATTAATGTTTCCTTAATTTTTAATTTATTGGCTAATTAATTAATTAAATGGATGACCAGTGGGGACACGGATGGAAGAGTGCCAGTTTTATCAACCAGATATAGCATTGCTGCTATGGGTCTTCCCATCACCAAACCATGGGCACCCTGGTTCTACCAAAAACAGGTTATTAACTTATTAATTAATCTAAATAGTACTAAAACATAATGAATTTCTCAATATATGACCATATGTTTTTAATGTCCTGCATCACCTGGACATTATTTTTCTCACTAGTCATTATTAAGTCATATTTAGGGAATAAAAAAATTTAAGTTCTATATTGGAAAATGACTTATGTTTTATTTGGTCCTATTCAGTGCAAATTTCACTTAATCTATTTGTTTCTCTTTTTTATTTGTTCCAATTTAACTTGCAAATATCGTGCCCAGTTCACTTGGCGCACCGAAATTCGAACCACCAAAGTTCTAACAATTTCGGACAAATCTGCTTCATACACAACCTCCTTAGAAAATGAGAAAAGTCAAAACAAAAAGATAAAATTGGGATGGTGCGAGGGAGAAAAAAATATATAAAAATAGTATAAGTTTTGGAAATTAAAATTAAGAATCTTAGGGTATTGCTAAATCTACCCCTAAAATGACAATATCCAAACCTTATACGAAAATTTGCTAAATCCTCACCCATATCAAATGTACATATTAATGGGCGTCGATTTAACAAATTTAGGTCAAATGTATGGAAATACCTATTTTGGGTGCGGATTAAACAATACCCTAATTTTAATATTTTATCAAATGAGTAATGCTAGAAGTTTGATCGTAAAAACAAAGAACGAGAAATCCTGTGTGAGAGATAATATCGAACAAAATCAACGACGTGGTGTGTTAAAGTATCCTACCCCGATAAATTTTAGAGGAGTACGTTGTGCGGGGGTAAATCCATATTTTTTACACCAACATTGACCATATGCTTTGCACAAACGCATACAGACAATAAGTCGAGGGCCGACCTCGAAAAATGAAAAAATGCAATTGGCCCGGTTCGAAACTTACATTTTAGGCCCTATTTTATTATTTTAGTATACTTATGCTTCAAAATTAAGGATGAATTTAAAAGTATGGGGCCCTAAAATTTTAAGGGCCCTGTGCGGTTGTCCACTTTGCACACCCTCCGGGCCACCCATGGGATCGATCAATAACTGTCAGTACGACAACGAAAGTTATCATACTCCCTGTGTATCTGAAAACTCCTCCGTTCTAGACTTTTTTTATCAAACAGTTATATTCTTTGACTATAAATTGTGAGAAATTTATTAGATTATAATATAAGTTTAGTAAGATTGGGCTGAAGTAGAGAATATGTTTTATGGGATATATGCAGGTGAGTGGATGGGTGCAAGAGTATAAAGGGCTAACGTTTGCAACGGTGAGAGGAGCAGGGCATGACGTCCCCACCTTCAAACCCGCCGAGTCTTTAGCCTTATTTTCCTCTTTCATTTCTGGTCTCCCTCTCCCTTCCCGCCGTGGCCCTTAATTACATTATTAATTAAGGGTCTGTTTGGGAATAATGCTAGAGATTAGTGTTAGCATTGTAGATAAACTTTCAACGGTGTAGATTACTTTGAAAACGCTAACGCTAAACGCTGCCCGTAGATAGCCTTTTCAAAACGCTAACGCTAATCGTTAACGCTTTTCCCAAACAGACCCTAACCCTATATACCTCACTATCTATCTTTTCTCATACTCTCTCTACTTATACCTATAATAATTATTATTGTATCAATTGTATACATACATACACTCCTATAGTACGTACTTACGTTCATAATGCCATTGTTTTTGTGTAACTCCGTACGTACTAGTCAAATAATTGTATGTTGTAAAGCCAATAAAGGTTTTAGAGAGGGATCATATCAGGGAAATAAATAATACTCCGTACTTTGTAAGAGCTGGGAGCAAAACTTTGTCTTGTTCTTTTTTCTTGAGGATATCTATTGATGGGGAGCCGATATTTTCCCCACGGACTGTTGGGCAGTCCAAGATCCAAATATCAATGGTCCGGACGTTGAAATAATAAAAGAGTGGGAACATAAGAGTATGTATATAAAAATAATTTTATTAGATTTATATTATTGAGAACTTTTAAAATTTTATTTCATTATACTAATATATGCAATATAATTGAGAGTAGTTGAAGCTAAAAATCTATCCATTTTAATTAACTCGAAAAACGTAACTGTAACTCAACAAGTACACAATATAGAGGTATATGTCTTTAATTAAATCCATTTAATTTGTAAATTTCATGCATGGGTTGAAGATATTTATATCAGAATGGCCGGCAAGAACATATTGAATTTGGACTAAATTATTAATCTATTGGAAATATGCTTGCATATAACGACTATATACTTATCAATATTAATATAATTATAAATAATAATAATAATAATTACGGAAAGGATCTTTTGACCCGTAAACTCAAGGTCATATTACCATACTGAATTCAACTTTAAAGATAAATGATTTGTTGAATAACATTTGCCTAAAAGCCTCTGGTTGTGCACTTCATCCAGATACATCCTTTACATTAAAAAAATTCATTATTATCAATGAAACAAAAAATGTTTGCTGCAAAATCTCTAGGGACAAAACATGTCTAAAATATCAAAAAATATTATTCTAAAAATGTGCCAATTTATCAATACATTTCAAGACCTTCTTATAAAGGTACACAAAAGATGAAAATTAAAATGAGTTAAAATCGTTAAAAAAAGTTTAACTTGCACGAAAAATGACTATAAGATGATGATGAGCGAAAAAAATATTCATTTCAATCATGCAGCCTTTGCGGGTTATTTAATTTGATACTCCCTTCGTCCCAAAAAGAATGGGACGGTTTGACTTTTTGGGAAATTAAGGGAGGGATATTTTGGTATTGACTTTCCAAAAATACTCTTGATGTGATGGGTAAAAGTAGGATGTGATGGGCAGATTATTAGAAAAAAGGTATGATGTGATAGGTAGGATATGAAAAAGTAAGGGCTAAAAGTGGTTTTTTAATAGAAATGTAACAGACTTTACGGGACGCAGTTTTTTCTAAACGTAACAAACTTTTTGGGACGGAGAGAGTATTATTTTTAACATGCAGATGATGGAACACATCAATTAGACCATTGATATGATTAATTACTGTAAACATTGCATCCATATAATAGGAGCAAGATTGTGCATATACCTGACAAAATTTTTAGCATCTCTGAGCATAATTTGTGCAACAACAAACATCCATGATTCTTAAATATGACAAAAGTTGCACTATCCGATGAATCATTTACCCTCGTCATAATGCAATACCTGTGCATGACCATTCCACAATTTTAAAATTTAAAATATCTCAAAGCTACTTTAAAAGTCAGCGCTTATTGTAATATATGTTTCAAACCTTGGGATCACATTCACAACTTGCTTATCACAAACATTGCAAAAATAAGAACCATTCATTGGAACCACCTCAAACCCACATCTACATGTTGGTATAAACCAATCTGATCCACCATCAACACCCTTGATTGTGTCGTAAACTACATAATCACCATCCTAAACGTAGGAAAATAAGACAATTACAGTCCGTAATTAACTTTCACATGCCATTGATCATTACTTATTTAAGAAAATATGATAAACTAACTTCAGTACAATCCTTCAAGTCCTCAATTCTCTTTGCCTGAGAAATTTTTAAGATTTTATGTGAAAAAATGTAACTATATTTCTTTTCTAATTTTTTTGAAAATAGATTCACTTGACAATTCAAGTAAAACTTAACTATAGAATAAATGTGATTGTTTTTAAGTTTTACAAAAATAAGTGTTTGTGAAATATATCAAATGCAACTATAATTGTTTTTATTTTAGAACATAAATTTCTTTGATTTTTAGGAATTTATTTTTTATCCATGAATTTTTTATGAAATTATTTGATATTCTATGAATTGAAATATAAAGATTTTTAATATTTTTTACTAATATATTTTAAGAAATCCCATGGATTAAAGTTTTACTCAAAAATGAACTGGATGGTTAACAAATGCAGCTACTAATTCTTAAGATAAACCCTATGAAACCCACGAAAAAATATACACCGTATTAATTTTGTCACTATGACTGCTTTCTTCATCTTGAATTATTTTGTTAGACACGAAAAATATTTTGTTAGTCACAAATATGAATTTGAAAGTTTAAGAAAGTATTATTTGATTATAAATAATTTAGAAAATAAATTTTAAATTTCACTGATTATTTTAAAATTTGATTTTAAATTTTATACTATTATTTTAAATTATTTCTGAAGTTGAATTTATAAAATTTTTAATCAAAATTATGAATTTCAGTTTTCACTCATTGCATAAAATTTCACGAAAGTTCTAAATTCTTCTATAATACACCCTCTGTGTTTGAATTTAATCTTCTCATTGATTTTTCTTGGTCAATTTTGTATACTTTAATCTCGATATATAGAACATTGTCTTTCGATAGAAATGTATAACCAATATTTTCTTTTTGAAACTAATGAATCTCTTCATGTCTTGTAGCTCCTGTTTTAGAGATAAAAAATATGCATTTTTATTTTAATACTTTCTCCATGTTTTATTCTTATTATGGCACGGAGTATTTTTTCAAAAAATCATAGCGGCACTTTGTACATAAGGCATATACTCCGTATACAACTTAAATTGGATCTACCCATATTTTGATTAAAATTACCACGTCATTCAAGAAGTTAATAGGTGGCGAGTGATTTGTTAAAATGTTCTCATGTAGACTCGTCACTTATCGCAATTCTAAGAGTTTAAGTCTCAAATTTAATATATCAAATTTAATATACAAATCCTTCTATTTTTATTGAAGTAAAGTGAATATTCCAAAAAAGGTAATTATAGCCAATTGGGATGACCAATTAAAGAGGTATTAATGTTGCAATTTAAAAAGTCAATATTGTTTGTTATTTAAAGAAATTTTGAGGAAAAAAGGAAATTGAATTTCAGAATTTCCGTTCATAAGAAAAGGACAAAAAAAGTGTCTTTAATATTGGTAAGCTTATATTTATAGAAATTAATATTAAAAAATAGGTAAAATATTGAGGAAAAAAACGCTCTGAACAATATTGTTTGTTAATTAAAGAAATTTTAAGGGTAAAAAGGGAATTGAGTTTCCGTTCATAAGGAAAGCACCATAAAAATCATCTTTAATATTGGTAAGCTTATATTTATAGAAATTAAATTTAAAAAATGGGTAAAATACTGAGGAAAAAAATTCCAGTCAAGTTTTTTATTTTTGAAATTAAATCTAAAAACCCAATATTTTTATCCCCTTAAAATGATTTTGAAGAAGAATATAAGATAAATTTTTAAAAAAATTCAAGGATGTCCAATTAAAAATCGAATCTAATTTGGATAAGTTTTTTAATTATAGAAATTGAATAAAAAATTAGGTGGAATGATTGAACATCATAGCCATGACACCTTTTGATTGAAAATATCATGCAGATTTAATTTAGTTTATTGAAACCTAAGTACAAATGGCGATGGAAGCTAACCTGAAGGAGACAGGTGATGAAGGCCATCGTCATCGACATCGCATCTGTTTATATATTCGATCTATGAATTGGAGATAAGAATGAGAGACATTGATATTAACTCTGAATAAAATATTTCATAGATTGTGTAAACCAAAAGCACCGAATTGGAGAGGAAAGCATTTACTTTGGAAGTCCAAAAGCACCAGATAAACTATTTCAATTTCTTTAGTTTTTGTCTCCTTTATTATAATAAAGGATTAGAACCGTACAAAGTTTACAAAGTTAACAAACTTATTACCATGAGTACACTTAAAGTTTTATTTTTAATTATTTAAAAACAACATCTAAAATGATACCAGTTATTTATACACCAGTTGCTTACATCAATTTATTTGGGATACCTACGATCCTCCGTTTATAAAAATGATGGTTCCTACCCCGCTAACTCTCCCCCTAAACCCCCACGCCAGCCCACCCCCCTCCCTACACTGTAAAAACATTATAAAATAAAAACAAAAAAAATTGATAATAATACTCGTAATAAATCATTATAATAATAAAATAAATTAAACAATTCATAATGAAATATTATAGTAATAAATAATAAATAAAATAATATACATACACACACATACACACACATACATACATATGTATAAACCCACACCTTATCAAAATTATTTGAATTATCTCAGCCTTGCCAAAATTAACCCAAACCCTTGTGAAGGATATTGTTAGAGTACATTCCACATCGGAAATCCAAAAGTAAAATAATCGGTATATAAGCTCTAGAGTGAACTAACTAATCGATTGGATTCAATATTTTAATGTGGTTCAGACCAAGTATCTTATTACCCAATTCAGTTATCCATACTCATCCTAAATTCTACAGATATAGAAACATTATATTTCTCCAACAAGTATTTATAGGTCTTTGGGCAATTTAAGTCGAGGCCGGATACATTAATTGTTTTACAAGTACATTTC